GGGTGATCGAAGGCAAGTGGTGGAGTTAAGACATGTGTATATTCGTTTAAAAAATGAAATAGATAGACGCTTTCAGACGAACACGCATCCGCTTTTGATTCGCATGGACCGAGGATCGAGAGTTGAGGTGGTGCAGGTGCTTCCTCTCCCTGTCACACCACGTTCCGAACGGGTGGTGACGGTGCGGGAAAACCTGCAGCCTACTGGACTCGTCAATCTCAGTGATCTCGCTGCTGCTCGCGACCCGTACAATGCGCAGTCGATTCCTGCTGTTTCGAAGGTGCAGTCCTCTTTGGGCTCGTCTTCCTCCTCCTCTTCCATACACAGCGGGGCCCGACGGACGATGCTCTCCCTTTCCAGTGGCATCACTCCCAGTGGAACGCCAGTTTCTGGTGTCGTGCCCTCACAGTTGGGCGAACAGATTAGACGACAGCAGACGCAGTTTCTCTCCAAACGAGTGCGCGAGGATTCCATGCGCTGGGGAGAACCCGATACCATTCATGTGACCGCCAGAGATGTGCGAATGCGGGACCCCATTATGGTGCATGAGGCACTTCAAGAAGAGAATAAAAAATATCGCATCCTGCGGCGGAAGGAAGTCAGTCAAACGTGTATCATTTGCGGTGTTAACTGTGAGGATGAAAGCACACTTCGAGTAGTGGTGGATTTACTAAAGAACAATACTCGGAATATGGGACGGCATATCCCAACGATGGCGGAACTTCGACAAGCGTTAAGTGATCGCCGGAGAACTAAAGATGGAAAAACTCGAGAGCGTCTCACCTGTTCCGAACACTTTGTGGATCTCCGAACACGCACGGTACACGTTGTGCATTGTCGCTGTGCCCATCTTTGCACGAGTTATCAGAGGGGAGCTGAACTTGAGGACGTTGTCTTTTGTGAGTTGCCCATGCAAACATGTGATTTATGTGGAATGCCGGGAGCGAGTGTGTCCTGTTATCATCCCGATTGCCATGAGCGGTATCACACCGTGTGTGCCTTGTTTTCAGGCGGTTATGTGAACTTTGGAAAGAAGGATCCATATCTGCCCTGTCCGGCGTGTCCGAGACACACGCAGGTGGTCGTGACAGCATCCAAGAAGACACCTCTTTTGAATGGTCAAGACGCCTCTTCGTGGTGGGAAGAGGACGAGGTGGCGTTTGACTCACGTGTTGTGGAGGACACAGATCTGCGCGACCCGGACGAGAATGATGGGGCTTAAGATACCACGCGTAAACATATAGATGGGTTCATTATTTTTGCGGCACATCATTCTTCCTTTTTATTCTTCTTCGTGTGTGTGTGTGTGTGTGTGTGTGTGCTTGGCAGTCCGTTCGTGCGCTGATGGAGATATTCTCATTTTTGCTTTCTTTTCCTTTTTTTCTTTTGCATCCTCCGTGTGTTACTGAATTTGAACACCACACAAACTGCCTCATGTGGTGATGCGAATCCATCGTCGTCATTGCGCAATAGACGTTGAGGGAGGAGGGATGATGTCCGGGACTCCAGTGACGTTTACGCCGACGCCGCCACTCGTCCCGCCTCCTCCGAAGGGATGTGTGCTACTGCGAGAAAATGTTTATGAGGCGGGACGCTCTCACGACGTAGACGAGGTTCGTGTGCGACGGAAGCCGACGATGTCGCGCCAGAAAAACCAACTTGTCGATCCACCGGCCGGTGCGAGTAAAAAGTACACTCTGGTTTTGGATCTGGATGAGACGGTGGTGTATGCACGCAATGGCCCTTTGTATGCTCGAGCATACTTGCGGGATTTGCTCCGATCCATAAAGGACGAGTATGAGGTTATTGTCTGGACAGCGGGGGAACGGGAGTACGCCAAGAACATATTAGAGGAGATCAACCAGGACCACATCATTCAGCACCTAATCTACCGCCACAAGACCTGGTTTTCCAGTGAAGACTACACCAAAGACCTGAAAAAATTGGGTCGAAACATCGATTACGTTATCATCGTGGAGAATACCCCGGACTGCGTTCGCGCGAATCCACAAAATGGCATTATTGTGGAGGATTTCGAGGTGCCATCCACACCACCGATAACCTCGCAGGAGAAAGAAGCGACCACACAGGCGGTGGAAGAAATACCTCCTGCATCGCCGTCCACCTCGACGCCCCCTCCATCCCCTTTGCTTACCCCCACCCCATCCATATCGCCAACGAAGCCGAAGCGACAATTCACGGATCGCACACTTCTCTTGCTTCAGGAAGTGCTCCTGGCGCTGGCAGAAAGCGGTGAAACGGTTCCCGGATTTCTTGCCAAATGCCCATTGCTGACGCAGCACGAGGTACTGGGATCAAACGGGCAAAGTATACCCACGTATTATCTTGGAAAGCGACGCAAACGTGGAGCACCTCCGACGTTACCCCCGCAAAAACGCGTCGTTCGTGACAATTTATTTCTGGATGGCGATGCGGAAATGGAGGGGACACGCAATCGCCGAATCCGATTATAGAAAAGCGCCTTCGAGGACAAGTCTAAGCGGTAGAACCGTTTTTTTCTCTCTTTCTATATTTAATATTTCTTGCTGTAGTTGCTGCGCTTGTTTCTTATTTTATTTTTTATTTATTTTTTTTTTTTCCGACCGGCGTCGTGGCGCCACGCTCCTCAGAAGAGAAATTTCACTCCCTCCTCTTCCACCTCCCAACTTCGCTCGGCCGTCTTATTTATTGGGCCAAAGAGGAGGGATGGAGTAAATTGCGGAAAGAAGCAATAAGGGCGCAGGGAGGTATTCGTATAATTTTGTCGTTTGCAAGAAATCCCGCAATTCCACGACAAACTTCTGCGTGTATTTGTGATAGCGCGTGTGTGAGTTTGTTTGTGTGTTTGCACTTTAGAGAAGAATAATCCGGCTTGCCTGCGTGTGTGTCATAAATTCACCCAATCATAATATCTTCTTCTTTCAAACGCATCATTTTATTAGTGGTTTGTCAAGATGCTTATGCGTCTACGGTAAAAGATCCTGCCCACAAAGTCGCCTCATGCACCGCACGTCGTCCTTTGGGCGGCACGGAGGGGGGCGAGGGCGAAGAAACAAACGACGCCATAATTTAAGCGCGGTGTTGCGGAAGTAAAAAAAAGAAAAAAGCCCTATACTTTTCTCAGGACGATGCCAAACGGAAAAAGGAAAAAACAAAGAAGGAAAAGATGCGTCGCCCATGGAGATAATCTCATTCCGAGATTGCCCATTATGCGCATGTCAACAAATGACACCTACCGCGCCACCAATTCATATGCAACAAAGCCACCAGTTGGGGCGTTTCCCCAGAAAGACGAGACCACCGACCGCAATTTCGAAGGACCAGGGCGCCCCAAACACGCACACACACACAAAAAAAAAAAAGCACACACTCACATGGATGCATGCATACCCTGCATCCGCACACTCAGAAGGGTAGAAACAGTAAATTAAGGTAACGCCGTTGAGTAGCGCACCTTCGGATCCAGCCATCCTACCGTTCACATTCCTTCCAATAAGCCCTTTGAGAAAAAAAACAAAACTCGTCGCGGTGAAATCGAACAACGCCCAATTAAAGGAAGTTCCACACTAACCCGTCTCGTTTCCAAAACGTGTTTTTTTTTCTTTTCTTTTCTAATCCACTTCAACGAATTTATTTTTCTCTTGTCGTTGGTTGCATGCCCACATCACCACCACCGTCAGTAAGAGGGGAGTGAAAAGACAAGATGCAGGCACAGTCTTCATCCCGACCCGCTCACTCTACACATAAAAGTCGGCGTTTTCCGCCGTAATACGACTTGTGCCGAGCGGGCCAAAATAGCGGCTAAAAAAATTACGCCAATACCCCCGGTGATAATCATGATTTGGCTCACAAAATCCAGGCGAGAGTTGAGCAGATTCCTTCTGTGTATAATTCATGCAGGCGAGGTAAACATAATAGAAGGCCAATGGTAGCACAATACAGCCCGCTAACCCTGACGCGACGAGAGATATGATGGCAGCAGCCATCTCCCAGCGCCCCTGTCCGGTGTTCAAGTGGGGATCAGGTTTTGCAAGCGTAACCAGAGAACGGATGCCAATAAAAAGAATGAGTAAGGCTGTGAATACAAAAAATCCCCCAAAGAAACGAAATGTTCGCTTGGCGACGCAACTCCCCAGCACCCCACAATGATGGTCAAATTCCTCCACACAGTAGTCGCAAAAACGGCAGTGGGAGCTTCGTGGGGGACGCACAATATGACAACTTGGGCAGACCTTGCGAAGAACCTCCTTCCCATTTACTAAGACCGTCTCCGGTTGCCGAGTTGGGTCCGGAGGAAGGGGCAGCAAGATGCCAGGATCCACCGTCACAGACATCACCAAACAAATAAGAGCAGCAGTGGCGAGAAGTGAAACGACTACGTACGAGTAAATTTCCCCACGCGGCAGCACACCCAACATAAAAACAAGGACAACCAAAAGCAATATCACAACGATACAAATACTATTCGCTCCATCCCGAGTAAGGACGCAACAGCTCAACAAATGCGAGCGACCCAAGACGCGCTTTGTACCGGCTGGACGAAGGGAATAAAAATTTCGTCGCTGTTGCTCCGGGAAGTTTTGCGGGCCTCCCGTCATCGGGGAAAAAAATCCTTCTCCCGAGGCCTTCCGTGGGCTATTCTCCTGGACAGCAGGCTCCTGAAAGTAGGCGCCGGGTGTTGTCGGAATCCCGCCGTCTCTAGTCATCGGACTGGATGAAATGGGCGCATTCATTTTTTTCTTCCCCACGCTGTGTGCATACAACAAAGGGCTCACCAGACAAACAACGACCTATTCAAAAAAAAAAAAAAAGCAACAAGAAGGAAAGGGAGAGGAGACGGTTATTGCAGTTGTTTTCCCTTTGAGGAGGAGACCGGCTTTTGATGGCAAGGAGGAGAGGACTAGAAGACTCATCACTCCCACTTTTGTGTCTTTGGGCTCATTCTCACCGCGTCGCGCCAACTGCGTGGAGAATCATCTTGCTTTTACTGTCCTGCGCTCCGCCTCCAACTCCTCCTCAAGAGTATCTACATCAAACCCTAGTCCCCGCATCTCCTCAAGATACCGCGCCGTCGGATCATCTTCAAGTCGTTCCCGTTCCCGCAGCCCCTCTTGTTGAAGCTGCTGTTGCCGCCGCCGCCGCATCGCGTATCCAAAGGCAGCCATGCCAACGCCACAGACGATGAAGGCACGTGCCCCACGCCATGCCATGCGCCGTAAAATGGCTGTGTTTTCTTCAAACGTTTCCGACACCAATCTTCTTTGCAATTCGC